AGTATGCAAAGAGAAAGAGAGAGACCAGAGCAGCTTGCCCTATCTAGACTGTTGTGGTAAATAGTCATTCATTGTTTTGTTTGTTGAATTGGGATGTTCCCAGTGCAGTTGGTGAACGTGCATGTCATCAATAATACAGATATAGCATACTCTGATATGGACATCTTTAAGTCCACGACGCCGTCAATGCGCGGATGAGCAGAGGACATAGAGCAAGCCTCAATCCGAATCGGGCAGTCGACGAACGTCAATAAACCAACAGTAAACCGACGCGTCGTTAGTCGCTTAGCTACCTTACATAATTCCGGTGAAACCTCGGACGACGAGTTGGGCCAGCCGTCTCATAGCGTCCTCATCCTCACCGTTCGGCTTAATCAGGAAACACAGCTATAAATAAATTACATTATATAAGCCATATTAGATAACATCTTCACACACGCCCTAGCAGAGAGGATCGAGGACGCGAGACGGATGGTTCTAGGAGCCTGACATGGACGCAGAATAGATACAACACACTAAGAGACGCAGAATAGATACAACACACTAAGAGGCAACAGGCTGGCATAAGTATTACAATATACAGTATAATGAATATAAACAAGAGAAGCTATTGTACCTGACAAGCTACATGTCTCTTCGCTCTCTTGCTCTTCGTGGAGGGGCGAGACACAGGAGGTGCCTCATCCTTTGTGTTTGCAGGATTGGCTGGACATACCCTCCAATGACGCTCAGGTTCATACGCGCTCCGACGCTCGTATGTGCCCCAGCATTTGTCACATGTCGTCTGACCGACCTTCCAGTGGGTATGTCGGACATGCTTAACCAGATTGCCAAACTGTAACGGTTCATCACGGGTGCATCTGGGATACTTGCACAGCACGCGCTCCTTCTGTGACGGTGTTTCTTTCTCCCCCTCGGAATTGACTCTGGAATAATGAACGGAGAGATGTCGCTTCAGCGTCAGCGCCTTCCCATCCAGCATCTTGGTACATCCGTCCAAACCGCATTCATACAAAGCATCTGCTGTGGCACTGGAGGACTGGTTTGACTGGGTTTCTCCCTCTGGTGCAGCCGCCGATGAGCCTTCCGAGGAGCTGCCAGTGGGCGCGGACCTAGATGACGCACTGCCCAAGTCTGCACCATCAAGGCGGGTGGAAGCCAGGGAGGAAGAGGGGAGCCCTTCGAGTGCACGGTTTCCAACATGAGTCACAGGAGGTTGCGAGTCTTCAGCCTCGTTGACAACAGACGATGGCGGAAAGGGTGCGGATTCATCCAGAGAGGGAGCCTGCACCGTGATAGAAGCATGCTCTGAGGCTACCAGCTCGGGCGGAGGTGCAGGAGGTGTGTGCAGGGCAGGCACTCCATTGAATCCGCTTTCGTTTGACCATGTCAGATCAGCGTAATCAGGAAATATTCCAGCCCAGTAGACTGCCGCCAGGCCTTCGAAATCGTAATCTTGGGTCTCGTCTAAGAACTGGAGCGGATCGTCCACGGTCTGGGAAAGCTCCTGTTCGTGCTCGGAAGCTTTGCGTTTGCCTGAGGCCTTGGAGATACTCCGAGCATCAGGTACAACTAGAGTCGCGGGGGACTCGTCTTCTCTCTCCAGATGCCCACGTTCAGCAAGCCTCTCGTCGTGCGCACTGGAAGTGCCTGACGGGGTTGTGTAGTCTTCGGGCGATCGACCTCTAGCATCGGCCGTTGTCGGGGCCCCAGAACCCGACGGCAAGTAAGAGGAATCCTCGGAAACGGGAATCCATGCACCAATAGGGAGTCCCTCAGGTGGCGAAAGGGGTTGAGGATTAGTGGCAATCGTCTGCTGGACAAACCCTCCATCTTCCGTTGCAGGACTTGGCCGCTCAGACGATAAGTCATGAGTTGAAGCTGGGGGCGCTGCCGCCGGGAGGTTGGGCAGCCCCGCCATCGAGGTATAGCTGTCCACTTGGACCGCCAAGGCAGGATAGCGGCCATAGGAATAATGGGTGGGGCGTCGGACTCCATTCATCAACTCGAGGTCCGAGAAGTGAGACGTGTAGTTGACAGTCTTACGCTTGCCAGAGATCTTAGACGCGGTGGCCGCAAGTGCTGACGAAGTGGGCCAGAGCATATGGTTGCCAGCGCCTAAAGAATGAGGCGCCATGGAGTTCTCCTTGACTGTGGAATTCGGCAGAGGTCGAGTGGGACGTGCAGATAAAGCTTGGCTCCCAGCCACAGGATGTATCCGCTGTTGACGCTCGCCCGCCAGGTTGGCCGATCCATAGAACTGTGGCATGAGACCTTCTGCGCTAGAACTCTCATAGTTCGGTTCGTACATGGGCGTCGGGAAGAGGCCTAATTGATACGGCGATGGCGAATGTTCAACAGCTCGCGGAAGGTGTCGCTGCATGTTTGGCACCTGAGGATATAAAGAATTGGCACTCTGCCAATGCGGCGTCGGCGGTCGGTTCTGGTCGTGGATACTGTATGAAAGACGTCAGCTCAATGCGGCAACAGCTTGCCACAGACTGTGGCGCTTACTATCCAGCCCAGACAGCAGCCCCGGTGACGGCGTCGGCAGCGACGCTCGCACCCTCTATTCTCCTGTTGTGGTCATGTCAGCAAGAGTTCACCGGAATGACGAACAAAAGACAAACCTGCGCTTGAAGGCCGCAATAGGGGGATGGGGCAGCTTAGACCTAAGGGGCGCGTCGGACGTCTGCCACAACGATTCAGAAAAGGATTACTTACGGACTCGTGTATACAGGACCGAAGTATCCGTTCGTATTATTCGAAGACATTGTCGATGAGGGAGGACAAGAAGATACTAGGCGATATATCAGAGGTATGTGTTAGTGGAAGATGTGGGTTGTGGAGAAAGGCGAGTTGGGCCACAACGCATTGCGTCCCGCACCTTTATACACCCGCGAAAACTGTGACAAATAATGCCACAAAGAAAACGTGGCACGAGTTAAAGCGTACCAAAGCGTCACCGCCACACCTCGCGGCAGCATAAAGGCCTGAGAGAACCGGGCGCATGCAGGAAAACGACCACTGGCGGGAATGCGTATTTCATGAATACTGAAAGACGAGTCAGCGATTTATACTACAGTGTGCTGATCTACATACCAAGTATACATAGCAAGGCACAGTACTCAGAATTCGGCATACCAGCACGGAAACTAGCAAAGCGTCTGAACGCTACTTGAGCCACTGTTTTCCTGTTAGCACTCCTTTCCTGCTGAGCACTGATCTTGCATCTCCTGTTCGCACTCCTGGACGGTATCGAAGAAGCTGATGTTCGTCTTGATGGATCACAATATGTCCTGACCCGCCATATGGCGCATCTGCTTGTTTTCCCTTACATTTTGGAGGGACTAGCGGCGACAACTTGATCATCTTTCCGTGGCTCTGTATCCCAGATCGCGCATAGCAGACGGTGAGACGACTCCCAGTTTCCGTCGCCAGTCGAACAGACAATAAATGGGGGGCTGACCGTATACCCAAACCCGGTCCGCAAAAGGTCGTCTCGAATCTGTAAGGTCGAAACCATTAACTAGTTCAGTAAAGCTCCAGAACAGGTTCCGATGTTAGCAAGAACCAATAACAATCCGCTCTCCTGCAAAAGGATAGACTGATAACTTGACTGCCGCTGGCCCCAGTCATCATGGTTTCTACTGGAGTCGCCCAGGCAGTATTGGCTGCACGTTTCACTACTGTTTCGTTGTGAACACGCTTGATATTAAGCGTTATCCATGACTAGCGCTTGGATGTGTAGGAATCGGAAAAGGGAAGAAGTTAAATAACATACCTATCCTGCAATGGTTTTCATGAATGAAGTCATGGAATTTCGGGAAACTGAGAGACCGCCCGTAGACATGGATGTAGCTTCCCAGTGAGAGAGCTCTTTGGAATAGGACATAAGGACTTAGTAAGCGAGAGGATCTACTATTTATGTACCTTGTCTGTGCACCGGCATTTGGAGAAGAACAAATGCACGCAACCTTCCCTGCTACTTGACAATGTAAAATATGTTGCCTCGAATGTCGCCCATGTGAACACGGCCTTGATATTGAATGTAGCCCCGGACGTCGCATCTTGTTGAGCATGGAACCGTTGTATATTTATAGTCGTAGAGACGAAAGGCATGGACGATATTGCTATCACAACACGAACTTCGCCTTGGTGTATCCATCTTCGAATCCGAGTCCCTTTTCGTCGATACAGCTCATGAAATGAACGCAACACGCAGGATCAGCGTTGCAATCTCTGAAATCAACTACAAGGGGTGCATCACGAAAATGTCAAAATTATATATTTGGGCCCCTTTGGATATAAGTCAGGAAGACTAGGTACCCAAGGTGCCAACTTACTAGGCATACATAGGCATTATAGGCATCTGGGGTAATATGTATCTTGATGTAGCTGAGATATAAGTGGTCCAGATATGTTGAATTGATAGTAGAGCCTGACTGGATCCCAGACTATAATATGTTATTATCTAACAAACAAGATCAAGACATCGTAATGAGTAAAACATGGTGAAATCAATAGAGCTGTTCAGATAGAAGGTTTTGCACTTCTCCAAGACATTGTCAGTGGTCCACTCCTTATCTACTGAAGTTCCAAATCTTGGTATTAGATGACAACCTCTGAAAATGTGTTCTAATGGAATAACCTCAGCATGGCGATGCTGGTTGCGAGTGCTGCGTGAAACTGAATATAGCTTGAGGTTTTCATCATAAGACCGGAAGGGAGTGAACCATTCAATATAGGCCAGGTGCCGTGGGCTCCCAGGTTGCAGGCAAAGATATGGGGGAAGTGAGAATATCACACGCACCTGTGCAACTTGAAGGGCTGCAAAAGAGTATTGAAACTATGCTTGGAAATGATCACACAACACTCACCTTCTAGTACTGACCCTTTAACATGTTCATTTCTTCCCTTGGCCTTAACAAGGACAGTATCAAAATGTGCTGGTGTTTGGTTTCTGCCAGGCCGGCTGGGTCCTGCTGGTGTTGCCCTGATACGGTCCATGCGACATTTTGGTTCCAAGATAGGAACATCAGGGAGACGAATCTTGACTTGGTTGTAGACATCAAAGCGATCATATTCATTTGGAATAATCAGGTGGTTGCTGAACTGTGATGGACATGTATCACGAAGATATGTTGCCAAGGCTGGTAGAAAATCTGGGGCTTGATGCTTGACAACAATATCCTGCACTGACATTGAAGGATGGGCAGGTTTGCAAGACAACCACAAGCGGTCTGATGTGCCTGGCTCTTCAGGATCATCCAGCAGTTCATCATCACTCTCATCACCATCATCTTCATCTGACTCTGCATCAGAAGAGCTTGATGTAATGCCAGCCCAGTCAAGATATGCTGTAAACAGCTCAGTAGACTCCTGACGCTCAAGCCACTTGGTCATCTGCTGAACATAGTCACGTTTATTACTTGCGCGATAGGCATCCTTAGCATAGTCAATGTGCAGCCTTTCAGGGAGTTCCGTATTGAACCCATCAGGAGAACCACGGGACCGGATGGAATCAAGGTAATGCTTCATTGCATGTAGCTTTGGAAGGTTGAAATGCTCCCTGGCTTTGAGGGTGACGAATACATCTTTGTTCTCGTGGAATTCCCGTAGAGCTGCCTGCAGGGCATCAAGGGTGTCGGAAGTATGGGTGTGAAATTGTGCAAAATAGATGAAATCCAGCACTGCCCGAGCAGTCTTAGCAGCCACAGGATTGATTGCACCAGCAAGTAAGCCAATAAAAACCCTCTCCATCTCCTTGAACTCGGTTCCAGTCCATTGTGACACTAGGGATATGCCATTTTTGAAGTGACGTAGCCCAGGATAACCAGGAATGCACTTGAAACGGTCATCAATATCACTGTCCTTGGAGACATCAAAGCACCAATCAACCAGATGATCCTTGAAGAGCCCTTTGTGTAACTGGTGAAGAAGATCAGGAGTGAGGGAAGTGAATATATCAGAGTGAGGCAAATCCACCCAGAAGGGCTGATCTACAGCACGAAGCCCTTCCTCCTTGAAGGCCTGCACACGTCAGCCACTTGCATGGTGCTTCAGAATCCTTGCTGTCCGCTCAGGATCACGGTAAAGGCTGTCAACAAGATCACCAGAATCTTCCCATTGAACTCGGCACTGGGGGCAACGATTCTCCTTGCAGCAGGCAACAAGACATCGCTCTGGATGGTCTGCCACATAAGCAGCAAGGATAGGAAAGACCTTACGGACCCATCCATCAGGGCAGACCATCTCTACTCCATCTTTACCAGCCTGAATCAAAGGTTCAAGGATTCTACGCATGCAGAAGTGGAAGAGACGGTAGCCTGCCAATGCCCGAGTTTTCTCTGTGAAACAGTCAAGCTTGCTGACAGGGAGGTAGCCAATCAGGACCATGGCATGTGAAGATGGTTGTCGGCGAACAGATTTTTCAATATTCCCGATAGTGAGGTAGACAGGCCATGCTGCCTTATCACCCCGGAACTGCGAGAGTTTGGTCTTGTCGGAGGAAAGAATGACAGGGGCAACAGTAGCACCCTTTGGTAATCGCTCCTAGATGTACAAGATTCATGAGTAAAAGTAGAGGGAATGATTTGAATATATTTTACTTGGATATCCCACCACCAATCTGCAGTCCACATCTCATCATAAATTCTAATATTCCCAGCTTCATCACGGTACACATGCTCGGGAACATATGACAGCTTGTCACGGAAAGCAGGATTCTCAAACAGCTCCCGTATACACTCCACAGGGTCCCGGCGCCAGAGCTCAAGGTCTTCAGTCATAACTTGTCCCTTCTCATCAAATTTATCACCGCCCACCGTCACTACATCACGGTGCCACTTGGAACCTTTCGTTGGAATAGCATCGATTTTCTGAAGCAGGGCACGCTTGTTCTTATATGACGGACATGCGCGCTTTGATATCTACACACAAATTAGCAAATGGCTGGACCTTGATGAGAGAACGCACCATCCCGAGCTTCAGCAGCTCGTCAGCCTGCCTCTGTCCTACATTCCGCACTAGCCATCGAGCTAACATCCAATCGTCCTCATCCTCAAATGGACCCCAAGCCCCGACATCACCGGTCCTCTGCCTCGCACGTATCTCATCAAATGAGGTCATACCCGGTCGTATTGGGGTTCCTGCATCACCAGGAAATGACTCGACGAACCTCTGTCGCATCCGGTCAGTGAGTTCATCATCATCGATGTCTTCCAAAGTAACTGTGGCAGCGCGATGTAGCTCAGAAGGGGAGTCGGATGGGGAGGGAGCGGAGGGAGTGGTGTCCTGGAAGTTGTCGTGAGGCGCGAGATCTGGCACATTGAAGACGGGAGCAGCAGCAGCAGCAGCCTCTCGATGACTGTGCTCTCGGTCAGATGAGCTCTCGTCAAGATCGGAGTCAGACCCGTCAGAGTCAGATACAGAGATGTTGTAGCGCTGTAACCGTTCTCGCCACTGCTGGTAGCATGAAGATACACGTTTGATATGCATTTTGAGTCCCGAGGGTGTTGGCACCCATCTCCCACAGAAGCCACATGAAGGCATGGTGCCGGCACAAGCAGAACAGAATGAAGCAGCAACGGTAATGCAGATGGTCTGCACGCAACAGTGTCGACAATGCGATGAACGTATGCCAAAGACTCCGTGTTCTCGAATGTTCGTGACCCAACTCCGACACCGCGTTACAGCCTCGTACGTTTTGCGCGCGTTCACACTTGTCTACTGCTTTGTCTCGCTCTCTCCTGTTGACCTCTCTGAACTTTGACAGCTGATTCCACGACTTCAATGCCAGGTCGTGCTACAAAATCACGGCCGAATCTTGGTCAGGCTGTCAACCTGCTCAATGCAAGTCGGCCTGGGACTCGAGAACGGCGGCCCACGGACAAGTATCAGAACATGGGTAAGTCCGCTCTATTGCCGGACAGACCTGACACTGACTATAAGCAGTCTCGAGCGAAAAACAGAAGGCGAAACAATCACAAGACCGCGCTCGTCGGTCACTGTTGCGTCAGCGCCAGGCTCAAGAGGAAGCAAACGACTTTCGGGACCTTGGAGACCTACGTGAGTTCTGTCCACTCAATTGCGAAGCATGCTGCTTAATAGCGGTAGCCCCAGAGTCCGAGGATGATGATGACATTCAAGGCCTCCCAGGCACGGTACGTGTCATCAAACATTGATTGATTGTTACTGACCATGCACTTGCTTTTCCTTAGTTCTCGGTCAAATCAACTTCTCCGGTTGAGCAACGCGCCAAGGCTGCTAGGCTCTCCCATAGTCGCAGGCCCGTCACGATGGACTCCGAGAACGAAGTCGCCGGTTCGCTTTCGCAAGGGCATAGGCACGCCGTAATGCGCTCACAATCGCAGTCGCAACACAGCTTTGACCCGAGTGCCAAAATCCCTTCGGTCAAATCAGTCTCATTTCGTGGTAGTCATGGAGAACGTCGACTTGTACGCCGTGCAGAGCAGGGTCTCGGAGAGGAGGTGAGTTCATGACTTCATATGTATACACAGTACAACTACAACAATTGGTCTCGCAAATTTCACAGGCAAAACGTAAATCCCTGAAGAAACGTACATCTGTCGTGCCGCCTTCGCAGGTGCCGCCCGCACACAACTTCGAACCGGATGACGGTCCTGCCTCATCGCCTTGCGACGAGGACGTACAAGGTCCAACGGATGACGATGACTCGGAACTTGCGTCTCGTACTCCCGCCTCGGTTCGCCACAGCTCAGTCATTCACTCGCCCCCTGGTACCCCGAGTCATCGCCGTTCGGTACCACGTTCGCCAGCTGCTATTCGTCGCCGCTCCGTCTCACGTTCGCCGGCTGCTGTTCACCGCTCTGTCTGTCGCTCACCTCTTGCTACTTGTCATCGCTCTGTCTCCCGCTCGCCAACTGCTGCTCGTCGCCATTCTCGTTCTCACTCGCCTGATGCTTCTCGTCGCCATCTGCTATTCTATTCGCCTGTTGCTATTCGCCGCCGTTCTCGCTCTCGCTCACCTGTCGCTGCATCCGCTGGACAAGGTCGAAGACATTCATCTAAATCACCCCATCAACGCCCGAACTCGCCCACTTCAAGACGTCGGCGTTCTCGGTCCCCTCTGACCACCCGTGATGCAAGTCACGTCACAAAGCGGCGCCGCGTTCAAGGGAGCGGCACGCGTGGGCGGTTACGCATGCAAGACTTCAAATCTCTTGTTCGTTCTGTTCTCAAGGATGCGATTGGGCACTACCGGACCCGCCTTTCGACTGAAGATCCCTACCCGGCTGACACAACTCAGGAACAGTGGGCGAAGGCTGCATGGGTGAAGGCATGCCAGAATAAGGGAGTGGATATTCCCGTCGAAGAAGAGATCATTGGCATGGTATGTTTCAATATCTCATCTAATGTTCTCACTCACTTGAACATCCAACAGATCACTGCCCGTGGCTCGCAACTCCGAGGCGAAATCAAGACCAAGACCCGCCCGCTCGTTGAGTCAGCATATGAGCTACAGGCTCCCGCTGACCAGAAGGATATGATCAAGAATCGAGACTGGGTTGCGAGTCTTCTGACTCGAGTTGGATTCGTTTACAGGGTAGGAATGTGTGTTCCATCTGTCTATGTTTTGACTGATGCTTTTTGTTTCAGTACCCTAAGGAACGTCTCCAGATCTATGAGCACCCGGTCCTTCAAAGTATAATCAATGCTGTTTGGTTCCAGAACCCGAAGGACGAAGGGGTAAAGTATGGTGAGTATTTTGGACGTCGGATCCCCCTGCCAACTCTTGCTCTCGTCATGACTGCGGTAAGTAATCCCAGGCTCTTGTTACTACTGACTAGGAGGTGCTAATTGGGTTTAGATCGAGAATGTCCTTGATGAGTGGCGCACCGGTGAACATCAAGAGATTCGGTTCACCGAGGGGACATACAAGGAGAAGTATGAGAAGAACCTTGAGGAACTCGAGAACTTCCAGCAGAAGACGAGGCAAGCCAAGATACTGCCAACACTTCGGGCTGAGCTCTTGCAGCATGCGTGGTGAGTATGCATGTTATTTTTGAGTTGATTACCTTGACTTATGCTGTTTATCTCAAACCAGGGCCAAAGCTCGCGCACCAATGCATGCCTCGGATGTGCATGGTCCGTCATTGGTAGATGATGATGTTATGAAGGCAATTCAAGATTGGATGTCTCGCCGTGGAGGTGATGTCGAGGATGATGGTGTGGGTGACGAATGTGGTGCTGATATGGAAGTTGAAGAGGGTGGGGTTGAGAATGATGGTGTGGTAGAGGGTGGTCAGTGACATTAGATACTGATTTCAGTTGTGCTGTCCTTGATGTTAATCAAGTTGTTATTTGATGTCATAATTGTGATTTGTGTGATGTTGTGGATCTACAACAGCAGTAGTACTGTAGGTGTTGTTGCATTCTTCTGTTTGCCTAATATATAGTTATATAGGTCTATGTGCCCTATCTAACCTACAGACCTACAGATCTATGCTCCTATATAAGTGCCTGTTCAACTATGTGACCTATCATGGGGACATATTACTGCACCTGTCTATGGTAACCTAAAAAGTTGGGGTTAGCCTAAAATGCTATACCTGCTATGTGACCTTATGAGGTCTAAGTAGGTTGATGACATTTTCCTGATGTGAGCGCTCAGCTATAGCATTGGAAGGCATGGACCTGAGGGCCCAGGGAGTGAGACGTAACAGCTTGAGGGCCTCAACAACGACCAATCGGATTCGGTTTCCGCTAGCACCGGGAAGACCCGATCCCCCCCCTCCCCCGGGGCGATTTCGCCAGGGCTTGCCCGTCCAGACGTTCACTTACGGCTGCAGCAAGGCTGCAGTACGCGTGTCTCGTACTTTGTAGCTCATGCTCGTGAATGGCAGCAGCCTAACCTGATTATTGACAATTCTGGCGAATCTTCATGGGGCGCTCTGATAAGAGACATGAGCGTTCTTGGCCGAATCCCGTGTCCATCGTCCACCGCGATCACACCTTCATGGAAGTTCGACTTGCTTTTCTGTGACGGCGACATACGGCAGGTACGCTGGGTCAATGATGCGCTCGGATATGCTCTGAACTGTCAAGATCTCTCGGACAAGAGGGTCTGCCGCTGAATTCGGCATGTTTGACGCTCACGAAGCTATAGCGGCACGTATCGCGTTCAGAGCGGCTCCGGGGAAGGTAGATGCATTTCCTTTTTACTGCTACCTTGTGCGATTAAGAGAAACTGTCAGGTATACTTAGACTTGACTTGCAAGGTAAGAATACCGGCAGGTACGGAAGACCGCGATACTATCATGCAAGTCGCTCCGTAGTATTTCCCGTGCGAGTTGGTTCTCAAAGGTGCGACTATGTCCTCTGCGATATGTAGCGCTGACACTGCGCATTTGGCGACCTTGGTTTTACGCCATCGCGCAAGACCGTAAATGCCCAGCAATATTCACCTGTTCATAATTGATCACCCCAACCTCGGATCGATTTGTTCCGTCCGGCCCAAGCGTATCTTGCAGCAACAATTACTTCAATCGGCGCCGTATCACAGTCTGCTACTCTCCGGTGCCTGGAGCTTCAGTTCTGTCGCCACAATTGGTGATAGAACGGCTTCGGGGCGTACAGGGTCTCACAGCATGTCGGTTTGATATTACCTCCCAGACGGCTGCACTCGGAGACTAGAGAAGTCCATCAAGCTATCATCCCGACGGACGTATTGATTGCGTGCCTAAGAATCTTACCATGATATAGTACCTTGGACAGTCGCTGCCGACCTTGGTATTTCGTGCTACTTCTTTGGGCGGATCTGCTGGCGCCGACGATCGTAGACAGCCGGACTGCATGGTGTCCTCGTTCTCGACCGATCTGGACTACCGTGAAGGTTTAATTTTCAGCAATCGCCTCGGTATCATAACTCGAGAATGGCGGTCAGCACTCTACTGCGTCAACGAACCTCAGACGGATTTACCAGCCCCTGTCACACCAGAGCTGATCGAGCCTGTTCGCTTATGTGCGTCTATCACTTTCCCCGTTTCCGTAGCATTTCGCAAACCGGTAGCTTTCTGCCTACTGTGCTGCCCGAGCCTGGCTCCACAACCTAGTTGCTTCTCCCCATCGGCTTCAAAAATTCTGTCGTCTGTCTTTACCCGCCACAGTGACGCCGGGATCCCCTTGTCCGCTTGTCTCGGCCAGGAGTGCCCTCAACTTCCATCGCATTCATCGCATTCATTACGCCCCGCTATGTGTGCAGCACCTGTACTACTGTTAGAGCTATCAGCCTTCCCACTTCGAACTGTGGGTATCGGACTTGTTTGATCCTTGTTATCTCACTTGCCCTGCGCCGGAGGCGAATATCCCTCTCTAACTATGTCCCGCTTGTGCTTTCCGTGCCGTGCTCTCGGAGGACGGTTGTCATTTCCTTTGTTCCACTCGTGAATCTTGCATGCTGGGTGCCAAGACCTTTTCCCAGGGTGTCACGTTTCGTTTCGTTCGCCACTGTCCTATCCTGATTCAAATTACGATGTCAGGCGCCGAATCAGAGTCTCTGATAAATTCCCCAGCCAATAAATACAGATTGTTCGCATCTCAGCAATTCTTATACTGCGCAACACTCTCGCTTGTTTGAGTAGCCACACAGTGCCTTTGGCGAGCTTAACGGACGGCAGGGCCTCAGGCCTGAAGTCTAAAAGTTTACATGACTGACGATCTGGATCTCACGCGTCACGGCTCGACGGTTGACAACTCCATTACTTGTTCGGTTCACTAGCTCAGGGATCTCTGCGACATTCTGAACAACCGCCACATCTGTGCGCGACGGATCGACTGACAGAGACTGCAGCCAGACAATCGCATGGCATGTACGTACTCTATCCCACGAAAAACTTTTTGCAACTCGTCACCCCTCCTCCCGGACTCTGCCGTGATTCTGCCGCGAACTCTACTACGCCACACGGTCGACACTTTGGCTCGGACTGTCTGGTATTTGTTTCCTTTAGATATCGTCCATGCCTTTTCCATTAAATAACGTCCATGCCTCTCCGACGAAATGTGGACGACACCTGATTATTCATTATCCACAGGCGGCATCAGAGGGTGGGGCGCTCACGGTCATAGATGAGCGCTCGCGCAGCACTTGCATGAATACGTGTTGATGACGAGAAGCGGTATTGACATGTCAACAGTAGCAGGAACAAGATAGGGATGCAATCTGGTAGGCAGGCTTCCCCATGTATAGACACAAGGCACAGAGATTGACTGCAGTTCGCAGAGCTTTTGTCACCGAGACGGGTGTTCCTAGACTGCGCGAACATGCGAGCTGTTATGGGTCTGTCTTACGCTTTCTCGGATGCCCATCCGAATAGGATAAACAGCAATATCAGGATTCTCATGTCCTCGCGAAGCATCCAGTAAATGAAATGCGGATGACGCATCCGTAACGCCCTGCACACGTCCGGGCCTTAGAGCGGCTGTCCCTATCTGTTATGGGTGGCTCCGACATCCCTCCACCGCTTTGATTGTGCGATGAAAACAGGACAGCTGCCCGGTTGGTCAGGGATCCAAAATAAGATGTCCAGACGGCCCTGCTGTGCTCCGCGCATCTTCGCCTCCGGGTATTAAACGGGCGTGATGAGGCCTCGGTAACCCAATCCTCAGCCTCCCAGTCCCTCTCTGCAGCAATGTCTACATTGTACGCCCTTCGGTCTATCTTTTCCGAGCCTATCTCTCCCGTTGTCCTCTTTCCTCTCGTTGCTGCCGGTGCAGCACTCATCTGGGCACTATGGAAACCCCGTCCGGTACGCACACCATTGCGAGTACAATCTGCGAATGCTCATAGTTCAATAGCTCGATAGCATCCCGACCATTGGCCCTTCTGGCCCTCTCTCATCTTACATTGGCGCATTCCAGTTCATGTTTCGTGGCCGACAGATGATCCAAGAAGGCTATGAGCGCGTACGTTTCTGAGCTGACGACACTGAACCACGCTAACGAAAGACCGTAGTATTACGGAGGCTATTTCAAAGTTCCTATCCTTGATCGCTGGATGGTGGTCGTCAGTGGTAAGAAGCTCTCGGACGAGCTTCGAAGCGCTCCAGAAGATACGTTCTCCCTTGACCAAGCTCTGGTTGATGTCAGTATATGGTTCAGTCTGTGACGACGCATCTCCTGATGGTCCCCAAAGATGCTTCACCTCGACTTTGTCTTTGGAAAGAAGGTCTATCTCAACCCGTTACATGTTACCCTTATGAAGACGAAGATGACGAAGACGATTGCGGCCCTTACTCCTGACATGTACGATGAATGTATTCAAGCATTCGAGCAGCACATGCCCCTGGATGACAGCAAAGGTAATGTACAATACATTTCACTACAAGTTCGTATATCTTATTATCGGCAGAGTGGAAGGCTGTACCGGCCCTTGCTGTTGGTCGTCAGATCTCCACCATAGTCAACAATCGCATTGTGGTTGGGTACCCACTTTGTACGTGCATGTCCCGATATCCCTCTTACTTCATCTCACACGAGCATATCAGGTCGTGATCCGGAATACATCAACCTGAATCTGCGGTTTATTGTCGACATGTTCCAGTGCCGCATGCTCTTCTGTCTGATCCCTCGTTTCATGGAGCCGTGAGTGGCATTGTCTCACGTAAGGCAATTTCAATGAACTTCTTCACGCTGTATCTAGCCTTGTCGGCCGTATCGCGACCAACATCCCCTCACAAATTCGTCTGGGTATGCGTCTGTTGAAACCAGTCCTTGATCGGCGCGTGAAGCAGCTTGAGGAATCCGACGGCGACTGGTCGGCTCTCCCGGTACGTGAATAGTGACATTCTCGCTGTCTTCCGAACATGTACTGACAAAGATGACGATATTTTAAAAGAATGACATGCTGTCTTGGCTGATCGCCACGGTTCCGAAGGACGAGACCTTGGACACGATCACTCGCAGGCTTTTGGGGGTCAATGTCGCTGCTATTCATACTATCTCGCACGTGAGCATTATACAAATTGGTATATTTAGCTGGATGATGACCGCTTTCTAGACCTTCACCCACTCTCTTTTCTACCTCGCCGCCAATCAAGATTTTATCCCCCCAATTCGTGCCGAGGTCGAGAAAGCGGTCGCCGAGGATGGCTGGACAAAGTCGGCCATGGGTAAACTCTATCTGCTCGACAGTTTTTTGAAGGAAGTCCTGAGGTTCAACGGAGCTCAAGCTTGGTCGCTGAATCGGATAGCCCTCAAGGATTATACGTTCTCCGATGGCACCTTCATTCCTAAAGGCACTAGCGTGGCCGCCTGTGCGACACCCGTGCACATGGACCCCTCCGTGTATCCTGAACCTGAAAAGTTCGACCCTTATCGATTCTATAGGCTGATGGAACGTGACGGGGAGGCTAATCAGCACTTGGTTGTGAAGACCAGTCTCGAGTACCTGCCGTTCGGACATGGCAGTCATGGTAAGTCAGCGAATTGGCTCCGAATGTATTGTCATGACTCAACCCTATCTAGCTTGCCCTGGACGCTTCTTCGCCGCAAATCAGTTGAAGCTGATGATCGGTCACTTGTTGTTGAATTATGATATCGAGCTCGAGCAGCCTGGAGCCCTTCCAGAGCGGGTATGGTTTGAGGCCGCAGTTCTCCCGCATCAAACGGCGAAAATCCTCTATAGGAAGCGGCAAACTTAGCCTGCCTGTCTCTCCCGGAGCTCTGTAATCTTCGTTGTTCTTCTGCCTTTCCATCCTTTGGACAGGGCAGTCTTTCCATGCCATACTATCATATCTATCCCTTGTATCTGTCTTCGCATGCTTAGAGGTCGTGCGCGCTAGCTCCCGGGGACTTTGTATTTAAAATCGGGTATTGTACTGTACTTCTTGGCACTATTACGCAAAGCCGTCTTTACAATTATTCTGCAGATATCGGTCTAGTAACTACCGCGCTAGAATTGTGGAATATCCTCAGGTCAGGCATCACAGCGACTGTGGAGAACGGAAGGAAGGCCTTGGATCATCGCATTGACGATCCGTGATTACTCCTTCAAAAGATTAATAGCATTTCCGATATCAGAACTTAGCTTCCTCGCAACATATCATGCCGGAGGGGCTAGAAGTTAGACTTCCGGTGAAGGGAGATCTGCGGGAGAGCGAAGTTCAGGCCATTCGCAGGCCGTCGCGGACTCCCGGGCTCATGGTCCTCGAATATGTTTATACACGAACTCGATATGGATCCTGTCATCCCACTAAACCCTAACCCTTAACAGTATTTTTTGTGCAGTCACATCTAAGAGTATAATTATGCTACCAATACTAGAGTAGAATTATGGTCCCAAGGAGAATGAGCACCAAGCGACGCACTCCAACGTCAATGCCTCGAAAGCCCTCCGCCGGTCTTAGAGTGCCTCGAACAGACGTGCCCATCGAAGTCCTGCTTTGAGGGGAAGGTTTGACTACACCGCGAACATTTCAGGCACGCGGTCCCGAGGTGTCGCCTGAGAGCGTCTAGCCGTCCGCAAAGTACCAACCCGCAGCGCGGACATGCCAGCTTCTTGTCCAAATGCCCCTTCGATGCAAGGTGACGCCTTACGCCCGAACGTTTGAGCAGTTTGCGGCACTTGCCGTATTGGCAGCGCACATGGTCCTTGCCCTCGACGTGGCAATCCATTATGTGGGCAATGGCACCGTCGATGTCGTCGGGTAGCATCTCTCCACATCCGTACCATTGGCACCGTGGGGCCGGAGTAGTCAGGAGGGTTGCAGCGATGGCGTAGCAGTCAGGGCTAGGGTCGACAGGGCTGGTCAAAGGCGTACGCCCGACTGCAGGAGAGGGATAGTATGTGTTAGCACGTCCTTGCCCATCGACGGGCGTCGAGCGAGAGCTATGGGCCATATCACCACTGAAGGGGGTGGGATGAGCTGAGACTGAGAAGCTGAGAACATTACAACATGTGAACGTACGTTGACGAAGAGGGTCCAACATATTCTTCCTCAGGATTCCAGCCGAGTACCACAGGAACTTTGGTGGGATGCATAAAGTCCTGCGCAACTGGTAGAGAAGAAGGTCCCGCAAAGTCCTGAACCTAAGGCAATGGAGATGAGCAGAGCTCCATGACGGAGAAGGCCGTCTTACGTGATCGCGATAGGACTGCTGGGTCGTACCCTCCGGAAGTGGCGGGAATCCCCCATGGCCCGTAGCGACCGACGGTGGTCTCGACAGAAATATACTGAATCAGATGTTAGTTGCGGTGGCTTGTCTACGCGGAGGTAACTCACGGGCTGCTCGACATGAGGTCGTCATAGAATGACTCCGGAGAACTATGGGTAGAGACCGAGTTCGTAAGGGAGGGCGTACGCGCCAAGGGGCCAGCGGATTGCCTGTGGGAGGGCTGTGCGATGGGTGGCGGAGGAGGCATGACAATAGCCTGAAGGAAACCGTCACCAATTAGTTAATAGCGGCATACGAGAGAGGCAATTCGCTTACAGAACCGTCCAGCGGGAAACTGCCAGTGGAAGACGAAGTATCCCCAAGAGAATGGAAGTCGAGGGATTGTGTCGATGGGTAAGGCGCCGAGCGCAGATCTCCTCGCCGAATTCGCCTTTGCTGGGTACGCGAGACGGCCGCAAAGTCGAACCGAGTCGGAGGAGACTGGTATATCTGTGCGCCCGCGTTTGGTGCCCGTTCAGCACCCTCACTATGGGAGGATGAGTCGGAAAACGTTTGGCGAAACAGGTTTGAGGAAGACTCACGGCAATGGAAGCGCCGACAGAATGAGCTGCCCAGGAGACGGAACAGCAGGAGTGCCCATGAGCCCGGAAGTGCCTTCATATGGCCGCGATATCCCCAGGGCATCATCGCTACGCGGGTTCAGAGTTGGGCTCCAAGTGGATGAAGACTGCAGGCTTACGGGGTAGACTGAGGGGCTCCAAACTCAGTCCAGAAGTCGGCCAACGCCTCTTGGATAGACGAGATATTCATGAGAGCTTCGTCTGAAGTGTCACCCGACCCCGTGCCGAGCATTGCGCTCTGGTAGTTGACAGAGGAAGGTAGACCAAGCAGATAGTTGTCGTCCCTCACTAGTGCGCCGAGCCCAGAAATACTGGAGACATGTCAGGAATACACGGCAAGAAATGGAGAGGTCATATACCCGTAGGTGGAAGAAAAGGAGAAGGCTGAGGCGTCGCCGGAGGAAGAGGATGACGCCCTGCTCGCGAGTTAGGAAATCCGGGAAATACATCGAACGCTGTAAGAACGAACTCGTTAAAGGGCAGCATTTGTCCTGGTACCTGACCAGATGCGAGATATGACGCGCTGTTTGCAGCACTGCAAGAATAACGCACACCTATATCAGCATACTACACGGCTTTGAGGGTAGTCTCAGGGTGACATACCTGCCGGTCAATTCGTTGCAAGTAAAAGACGTTTCAGAAACACCAAAAGCCTTGGTATCATCCGGAATATAGTACCTAGCAAGGCTAGAATGAGGCTCTTTCCGTTAGCACGACGGTATGTGACGACTTACTGTGCCGCTGTGCGCCTACATATTATGACAGTATCAGTGCCTCGATGCAAAAGAGTGTGGATGTAACCAGACGTACGGGTACTGGAAGTTGGCGTTGTCAGAAGAAGCACCTTGCTCGAAGAAGAGATGGGAGTTCATGGCGAGGCGGAAATTAGTTGTGGGTGAGTACGCGGGCGCGAGGGGCAGGGGTGAGGGGAAGTGCTAGAAGGAGGGGCTGTGGACCTTTGTAGACGTCGTTCTTATGCACTGAGCTAGCGAGACGCTTTGGCCGAGATAACCCACGAGTCTTCGGAAACTCTGGAGGTGGCCAGCCTCGTCATTGCCATGCCTTACCATTTTCGTCGCTGCAATCCTTTGTTGCAGTCCTATCGTATGCAATCGCGGGCAGGGGGAGTCAAAGCGCTGACCTCGTGCCAGACGCTTTGGCCGACCCATCACGCTTTGGCCGATGAGTGGCTCAGAGGGTGGAGCGTGAAAGGACGTCCGGCCAAGCGTTTAGGTCGGACAGACGCCCTTTCAAGACGCGCTGTACGCTTTGGCCAAATCGTGATGGAATTAACGGACAGAGGTATTCCAAGCAGACGTGCCGGGAGGTGGGCATGCATGCTCGACATATTTTACTGTATCGCGCAGGTTATTCACTGTATTCACTGTACCTGAGCGAGAAAATAAAAAACCTACCTCAGACCGCGCGATGTCTCAGCGAGAGAACCTTTTCCTCTGGATAGACCATGTATGATGGTAGTCGGAGGATAGACGACCTGATGCAGGACAACCGCGGCTGCCCCCATCAAGCGGGTGTGAAAGAGTTGTTGCCTAATCAGGGAAATTGCCTAAGGCCTAAGTTACATAACAGCCCTCGGTGCCGACTTCGACAGCGACGATGATATCTTCTTGATTTCGTTCTTCCACGTCTACAGTGTACCCACTGAACTTTCTATCGCCTGTGCCTTCCAATTGGCATTTGCTTCAAAAGTAGATTCATGACTATATCCTGCTCGAATTCAGAGTACGTCGCCCGGTGCCCCTTCTAAAGCTTCAGATTTGGATTTCCTGGGACTTGAAGCCGCACGCCATACCTCTCCAAATATCTTTATTGTGCAGGATTGAAGGTGCCTTTGTCGGATTTTTCAATAATATGCTGTCTAATAGGGTCTGAACTCGTTTACGAAAACCTCTCGGGGCTTGCTTAACGTGCTGCGGCCTCTCTTCAAGTACCTGCCATATCCCATCTGGCCCACGATGCCGCCATTTTCTCTATCCCAGACAATCGAACCCCTTAGTATCGTCCACCTTGGCCAATTTTCAAACTCCATGCCTTCGAAAGGAGTATAGTCGATGTCGTGATGGAGCATGTCGTTAGTGAGGGCGAATGGTGTCATCTTCCTGCTTGATGGATACCATATCACCAAGTCGGCGTCGAAGCCGGGTGCGATGGTACCCTTCTTGTCCAGGCCGTAGAGCTTTGCTGGGTTCGAGCTTGTGAGCTCGACGAACTTCTGAATGGATATCTTGTCTTTGAGCACTCCACCAGAAAACAAGACAGGCACGCGCGTCTCTAGTCCTGGAAGACCGTTAGGGATCTTGCGGAAGCTCGTAGTACCATTGACAAGGCCGGCTTTCTTGCCTTGTGGATGGTCGAATCTGCGCTTCTCGTCAGGTTCTGCTTTGGACTGCCAGCTGCCACACTTACTTCGATGGGGCATGGTCGCTCGAGAACGTGGTGAATGTTCCATTTTTCAGCCCTTGCCACATGGCGTCCAAATCCATCTGGTCCTCCCGTAGAGGCGGCGAACATACGCACTTGGCCCCCTCGAAGTGCTCGCCGCGGAGTCTGTCACTCTTGAAGAACAAATAGTGCGGGCACGTCTCTGCATGGATGGGGAGCAAGCGCGTCTGCGCCTTCCTTACATGCGCCGCAGCGATCTTGGACGACATGTGTACGATCAGGATGGGTATGTCCATCAGCTCCGACAGCGAGATCACCCTGTACGTCGCCTCGTCCTCAGCGATATTGGGCCTGCTCACGGCGTGGTAGTACGGGTCCGTCATCCGCCTCTCCTCCAGCCTCTCCGTAATCCAGTCGATCATGTCGCTGTTCTCCGCATGCACCATCGTCGTCATGCCCAGCGCGCGCGTGCTGGTCATCACGTCCAGGATCTGGCGATCCACGAGCTTCAGGGGCTGGTATGTCATGTACAGCTTTACCGAGCTGATGCCCTCGTCTTTCACTAGGACTGGGAGCTCCTGCTGTAGAATCTTTGGCGTCGGGTTCGTGAGGATGAGGTGGAACCCGTAGTCACAGTACGATTGGCCGGCCGACCGTCGGTGGTACTCCTCGACGACGGGGAAGAGGCTCTCGTCCGTGCGCTCTTGCGATGCGAAGGCGAGGATGGTGGTGGTCCCGCCTGCGATTGCAGAACGTGTGCCGGTTGCGAATGTGTCCCCTGTCGGAGAGTTGTCCTGGTGCAGATGGACATGGGAATCGATACCGCCCGGGGTGACGAAGGCGCCCTCTGCATCAATTTCGCGTCTCGCCTTGAAGAGAGCTGATAGGCCTTGACCGAGGCAGAGGATGCGTTCGTCCTTCACGACAATGTCCTGGTTAGGCAAGATGTCGGAAGCTGTCGCCTTTGAATATAACCGCTCAGTATCCGAATCGTGACCACAGTTTTCAGGATTCGCTCACGACAGTAGCGTTACGGATGACCAGATCTACTTCCATGGCGAGGGGATATAGGTATCTACCCCAAGCTCGAAGGCCTGTCTACACTTTATGCCCCACCGTCGTGACCTCGATCGGCCTTCCGGAATCTTTCCGACACTGCTTCTTTGCTCACCAGTCTAGTGAGATAAGGTCAGAGATAAGATATGTATGACCCGCCGCCGGCATGGATGGCAATCTAGGCGTCTCGGACAATCGGACGCCGTCTGTATAAGTATAACGTGGTACGTGATGGAAGGCCGACTGGAGTTCGTCTGCTGGCCCTTGCTCTCAGGTCGTGTTCTTCACACCCGCCAAGATGCCCCGTGTTATACGGCTGGCTGCTGCTCAGATGGGCGCGACGCACCGTACTGACTCTCGAGCCAAGACCATGGATAGAATGCTGCACCTTCTGGACGAGGCGTCTTCCCAGGGCGCACAAGTCGTCCTCTACCCAGAGATCGCCTTCACGACCTTCTTCCCCCGCTACATCATCCACGACAAAGACGAACTGGAGTCGTGGTTCGAGCACGGAGATGTGACTACGAATCCAAACACGAAACCGCTGTTTGACCGCGCCAAGGAGCTTCACATCGATATTTCGGTCGGCTTCGCCGAGGCGACTGATGACGGGCAGCACTTCAATACTTGTATCTACTACAGCAGCCACTCCGGGAGTATCTTGAGTAAATATAGGAAGGTGCATCTACCGGGGACGTTCGAGCCATTCGACGACCCGGACGCCGTGCAGCAGCTCGAGAAACGTTACTTCAAGCCGGGTGATTTGGGTTTCACCGCGTTTAGAGTCCCGGGGCTGGAGAAAGACGAACCCTCTGCGGGGCGTGGCCAGCCAATCTTCGGTATGATGATTTGCAACGATCGCCGCTGGGCGGAAGCTTGGAGAGTGTTAGGTCTGCAGGGAGTGGAAGTTGTCTTGTGCGGATTCAATACCGCCGGCTGGGCGCCACACCTGTGGGGTTCATCTCCAGACCAAGATCCCAAGGAAGCCGAGGAGACGGCGCTGTTCCACCATAAATTGGTCATGCAGGCTCATTCCTACACTAATGCGACTTTCTCCATCTCGGCTGCCCGGTGTGGCTACGACGATGGCATATTTTCCTTGATTGGAGGTAGTTGCATCGTCGATCCCGAAGGGAAGATCTTGGTGGAAAGCAAGACCATTGAGGACGAGCTCATAGTTGCAGACTGCGACTTGGATCTGTGTAAGCAGGGGAAGGAGAAGACGTTCGCTTTCGGCAAGCATAGAAGGGTCGAACATTACAAGAGGATCACGGAGCAGGCTGGCGTTATCGAGCCTCCTATGCTAGGCGAGGTCCCTGACGGTCCTTCACAATCTTCTGCAAATGGAACGTCCGCGCAAACCGTTAACGGCGTCAAGCGGAAGACCATTCGAATTCTCCTCTGTAATCCCAACTCGACAAAGTTTATGACAGACAACTGCGTCGAGATGGTGAAGCCTACCCTTCCCCCAGACGTCGAGGTTGTGGGCTTCACGGCTCCTCGACCTGCTCCGACGGCTATCGAAGGGAGCTTCGATAATGTGATGTCCGCTGCGGCTGCCATGCGCGCTATCATGCCCATTGCAAGCGATTTTGACGCTTTCCTTGTTGCATGTTATTCGGACCATGCGTTAATCCGGATGCTCAGGGAAGAGTTCAAGCAACCGGTCATTGGCATCATGGAGGCAAGTCTCTTCGCGGCACGTACCCTGGGCGGTCGATTCGGCATCATCTCTACCTCCGCCCGTTCCAAAGTTATGCTCGAAGATTCCGTCAGACATTACGGGTTCGACGCTTTTTGTGCCGGCGTCGGGCACTGTAACATGGGCGTCCTGGATCTAGAGAGCAGGGGTCCCGACGAAGTTACGAAAGTTATGTGTGATGTCGGCAAGGAGCTGGTGGCCAAAGGAGCCGACGTGCTTACGCTGGGCTGTGCTGGGATGACCATGTTGAAGCCTGCAGTAGAGAAGGCTGTCGGTGACAGTGTCACTGTCATTGATGGGGTCCTCGCGGGAGTCCATCATTTGGTGGGCGTAATGAGAATGGGCGGGAAGACCGCGAAGGCGGGTATGTACAACTCCTCCGAGGCTGGGAGAGTCGCTAGAGAACAGAAGTGGTATTGAAAACTGCGCGCACCTGAAATGACTGTTAGATCCCCGTGCGCTTTCGTCAGTAGAGGGGTTCGAATAGGGAAGGTCACAAGAGGCCGCTATTCACCCAAGTTCAGTCTGCCTGTATGCGAATTCTCATCTGTCCATGATGTCTATTGTCCTACAAAGTCCATTGACATCCCTTCGTATCACTATCTATAGGCAGGCTCTCAGCTGAGCCAGGTCGTGTAATTTTCCGACGTTCTCAAAATAGCTCCCGAAATCTCCCTAGCTACAATCCTGTCCGCCTGCTCGGATGGGTGCAGCTCGTCGTACCTATAACATCGGTTAGACCTCATTCCAAACGAGAAACGGGAAGTGCAACTGACCATAAGAAGCTATCACGGTCGGTACCCTCTGCGGTGGTGCACGTGCCGGCATTAGGGTCGCTGATGTTAGCGTTGATGGCGTATACGCAGGAGTTGACGCAGCCAGTAACGTTGAGCGGGGCGGTTCCATTAAGGTACTGGGCAGGGTTGTTGTACATGTCCGTGAACAATCCGTAGGAGTCGAAGATTCCTGGGGCAACGCGTCAGCACAGTGAATACCCTCCGCGTCTGAGGTGCTATGCATACCGATGTGGGCGCCTGGGAGCTGGTAGGCGAGGTTCTCTAACATCATGCGGGAGAGCAGGTTCCCGGTGTTCGTGATCTCGGTCATCATGACGTTCCATTCTGTCGTGTTGCGCGGTGCGACGTAGTACCGGTTCGGGTACGAGTAATTAGAGTACAGGATCGTATTTTGCAGAGGCAGCATCTATGTAGCGAATTTCAAATTGCCAGGTTAGCGTTAGCGTCTACTACGAGTGTGATTGTGCCCACATTCTGGAAGAGGAAGTTCCTTGCGCCGTAGCCATACATTGTCGAAACCCAGTTCACAGCGCACTGGGTGGTGTTAACGAGGGTGACTCCGGGGGTTTGTGAGCCCGTCAGCAGTTCGTTAACGCCAACATCGTTAGTGCCGATCCATAGGGTGTAGATCGTCTCGTAGGGGTTGAGTGCCAGCGTGCCGTTCTGCACTTCCTGAAGGTAGGTCGGGATCTGGTACTCGAAGACCGGCGGGAAGGGTCTGTCAGTGAGGTTGTTTGAGCACGCCGCGCCGGATTTCGCGAACGGGTACAGGTTAAGGTGCCCGTATTCGGCGGCGTAGATGGGCCATGCCTGGCCTCCGTCCGCGGGGTTGCCAACGTCGGTGTACGAGTCGCCAAACGTGACGAGGTTTTTGATCTGCCCTGGCAGGGGACCCCCAAATGCGAGGACCGAGGGTGCTGCAGCAAGGAGGGCAACAACGAGAGAAGCTAAGACGCGCGACATTGGGGGCACTTAGGGTGAGCTCTCGTCGGGTGGGGAAGGGGATGATTGGTCGTCCTTCATATAGTGCGCAAGCACGAGTGATCAGTCAGGCCCGCTTGAATTTACCCGGGTCACGAGTCTATAAACAACGTACGAAGGTAAGCAGAAGACCTGCGGATGCCATAAATCTGTGAGTATTTCCCGGCATTTGGGCAGCACGACACGCACCGGTCTATGCGAGGAATACGGGAGAAGAATTATAAATAAATTACGATGGATGAGTAGAGGTGCCGGAACAGCAGCTGGTGAGGATCAGTGCCATTCTGGGCGAGATATAAGTACGGATGTGCGATCGCCACTTGGACAGTAATGATGTCTATTTGCATCACGCTCAACTTGATTCCGAGTTATCTCCACTGGATCTTCGAATGCGAACGAAGGGTTCCTAACGGGTCCCCGACTGGCACATGATGTCTTCCCGCCGCGAATCGTTTCGCCGATTTGTTACACCTTCCAGCGATAAGCTTACAGCTCCCCTCGCTCGCTAGTTGTATGTCTTCATTGCAGTACGAATTTGCTCAAGGAATACGATCTACAAGGCCTCACAACGTTTCGTCGGGTAGAGCAGATTGACGTCAGAGAGAATTGGAGTAAGACTGACAAGTAGTGGCACCCGCAACATAAGATTTTCCCTGACAAACAAAAGTTTCCTCTCCGACATTAGCACCAGGAATCCAGGCCCCACGGTGGTCAGCCAGGGTCAGGTTGGCTGAGGATAGATTCAGTAATCTTCAAACCAGAATCATCGACATTCGCAACTTTCTGAGCCGCTGCCGGCGGTGGCAAGCATCATGATGGAGGCCACGAGGAGAGGCGTGACAGCATCAAAACGCGTCCCGTCACTGTCACCATGCGCTCCAATAGGTGGACGCGCTCCAGCTTCCAGATCTCTTTGACAAGCGCGTATTCAGACTTCAGACGCCATTCTAGCTGAGTACACACAAACCATATCGTCCGTATACAAGGGTATCCATCTCCTGTCGAGTCAAAAATCGAAGGCTACAATCAACTTCTTTGTGCTCTGGCGAGCTTCTGTCGGTAACGTCACTCGTTCATACTAGTGTTGAGCACAATGGGAAGCTGACCGTGACTGCACACATTTGTAGGGATGCCGCCATAGCAGGATACCCCTCTTCACTTCGTTCAAAGTAAACAAACAAAGTCATACAACACGAGTATATAGCACAAAGCCACAGGCCCGCAACGATGGACCTCGACGATTTTGACTTCAGCCGTCAGTACACTCTTCATGGCCGATTCGGTATTTCCTCCTTCCTCACAGCTCACACCCTCTCAATGGGTAGCTCGCAGCCGCAGACCCAGATCTCCAGATGGGGACCGGATCATTTGGCAAGCGTCGCAGAGCGCTTGTGACCCTCTCAACAAACTCATTAGTTTGGAGGCTTCCCAGACCCGGAGACGTCAGTTCTCCACGCGTTTGGAGTTCATTGTCTTTTGACTGATCGGCTTGCTAGTCCCCAGCGTTCCCGTGTTGCCTGGATTCAGCGAGTCATCGTTCCTTCCTCGCGACCTCTCGAAAGAGGCATCCACTTCGACAATAGAATCATCCATCGGGCCCTCCCGAAATAAGCGTGCCCGACCTTCCAAAGCGCCGCGCCACCAGAACAAAGAGGAGGAGGACCTATCCCAAGGCGGCGACCCGAGTGATTTCTACGCTGCCCTGCGCGGTGTCATGGAGTATACGTCGGCGAAGGCACAGAGGCGGGCGTCGACGTCCAGGACACAAGAGCGTGCTGTGCCAGTTGCAAGCCGGCCGCCCCCGCAAAGGGTACACTCTGAAGGCACTGTCGTCGGATCCGATAGAAGTGGGAATGCTAGACGAGGGCGTAGTCCGCCGCGGACCTCCGCCGTTTCAGGTGCGAGTAAGGCCACAACCGTAGACAACCGTCACATGGTGGTGGATGTGGATAAGCAAGCCTCGGGTAGGGGCGCCAGTACGAATCGCTCACGTCCTCCATCTGCCTCACCGTGCCCAACCACTGCACCATCCTCTATCTCCCTGCAGCCTGTGGCAACAGTCAGGGCTTCCAGCAGTAGTTCCGCCCCCGCTCTACCTACTCGTCCACCGATCGAAAATCGAAATCCTATCGAACCAAAGACGCGAGTCTCTGGATCTCCGCTGTCGTCGACAAATCAACCGTCTCCGCAGCCCACCCAACCGAAGGCCCCCCAAGCTCCGCGCGCTTCACAACGACCTCCCGCTCTCGGCATGCGCCCCAGGGGGTATAACATCGGTGCAAAAAGCCATTCGGCGTCCGTCTCCCCAGAGCTCCCAACGAAAAGGAAGGGGTTCAAATCGCCCCTCATCAACGCCAGCCAGGCGCCGCGAAAGAACACCCCCGAGCCACACCAGAAACCCCTTCTGGAGGCTTACCAGGGCGACGCTGCGCCGCCTTCCCCTCCTGCTGGGGTTGACTCCAGTTTCGACTTCGACTCGTCTTGGGATATGGAACTGTTGCACGAGAGCCTCAAGCAATACGACGCTTAGTGATCTATCATACGTCTTGAGTTCTGTCGCAATCTCATATAATACGTTGTTTACCTAATCTCACCATTGTATCGTATCTTTTGACAGTCATCAGTATTTCCGACGTTATGTCCAATGTGTAATCCAATACAAGGGGAAGTAGATACGATACAAGGCACCTGTACAAACAATAACTTATAAATGGGCATCATCCGCGGCGTCGGCTCCGTCTAGACCTGAATGGATAACCCGGGGGTCCAATAAACCACTCTATCTCGTCCGAGTCTCCCTCGTCCGAATCGTGCCCATGGTGCTGGCCCTGCGTACTCGGTCCAGCAACAGGCGCATGGGATGGTCCACTACCGAGCCTCACTTGCTCGCGACAGACCGGACAGCTCGTCGCGCTTCGGAGCCATTTCTACCCATACCGGATGAATACAGCTCGCATTCGAGAAAGTGGATGGGACCCTTACCTCCAGACATTCCTTGTGCAGCCAATGCCGGCAGTCATGCATCTTCAAAACGGGGTCCAGTGATTTGTACTTTGCGATATAAGTACAAGCGGACAAAGAACAACTGAACAAACGTACATCATCCAGACAGATGGGACATCTGGTGTCACTTTCAGCTTCAGCCCAATCTTTATAGAATCCGGTGGGCATTGAAGCTATAATATGCTCTGGAGTGGAGCGAGGCCGAACGTCTCCGATAGAAGAGGCCAGAGACAACAATGTCTCATAGGAAGGATCAAAATCTTCGTCCCGCTAACGTAGACAGTCAATTTCCATCCGCGGACATTGAGGTGAGAAGTAGCTTACCACGTAATCTCCCAGGTTGCGACGCATCGCGTATCGTGTAGCCAGAAGGTGTAGTGGCAACTCTCCACGGGATCGGATATCGTCCTGGCCATGGCTTTGCTGCCGAACTCTAGTCCGCATTGCACGCAAGCGAGCCTGTCTTTCAAAGTGAGACCTCATACTTTCCTGATGAGATCTAGCAGTATCGTGCGGATCGCGAGGCGGACTGCGAGACTGGGAACGATGAGCGGTGGATCTCAAAGATGGCGGGAGCAGCAAATCCCAGGGTCGGGCAGTGGCATTCCTAGGAGGTGCACTGGCCGGGGGAATGGACCTCTCCTCGCGCGTCCTTAGGCTTTCGCTACCGGATTCAAGGGCGTCCCTCAATAATGTGGACGTTCTGGGCCTTTCTTCTGGTCGACGTCGCCTTAATCGCGCTGGGATACTGCTGGCACCCTCATCGCTACGGAGCACATGTAAGGCTTCCTGGAGGTCGTCGTTAGGATGCTCCGCTACATCCACATCCATTGTGTCCGGTAGATCTGGCAACTCGGACCATAGGTCTGCAAACTCGTCCGTTGGTGACTGTACGGACCAGTCGGAGAACGGTATGTCTGCGAGCCAGGCGGATTGCATCCTCCCAAGATCGTAGGCGGCCGCAGCCTCACGGTTCCTGCGTACAGCATTCTCGGCCTGGGATGAACCCAGTGACGTTATATTCGTGGAATCTGTGCTGAGCCTCGATTCACTGCCTAGTTCTTGATTGCGGTTGATCCTTCTGAAAAGGGAAGGAGGAAGTGACCTGTCGGAGGGGAGTGGACGTTCGCCTCGACTCCGGGAGAGTGGTTGGCCGGTGCTATCGGGAACACTGAGAGGAAAATTAGTACATCGAGGCATACTGCTACAATTTATATGTACCTGGCGGGAGCAGCTGGAGTTCTCGCGCTGGGTGCCTATAATAATGTCAATCAGTAAGCCCATACTTACAAGTTGTATTGATAGGGTTTACCGTGGAGGAATTATTAGATCTAGGATATCGCTCCGCGGTAGCATGGAGATTGGCAGCACGAGCCTGTGACTGCGCCATTGCTCTCTGGCGACTTGCCTCTACAGATCTTTGCAGGGTAGCTCTAAATGAGCCTTCATGGTACGCTGAAAGGTCAATGTCGGGGTAGCGTGGCCGACCGGTAGCTCGCGCCTCCATCATGGGGACTGGGATCCGCGGCCTTGTAGGATACTCCGATGGAGGAACATTTCCGACGCCTAGCCGAACTCGACCACCAGGCGGTTCAGCGAGACCCGAGGTATTTCGGGCACGTTCATTCCTCTCGCGTAAATATGAAGGAGTCGCGTGTATCGGCGAAAGAGGCCTGGGGTGCGAGTAGTCGCGACTGCCTCTGACGTGTTGTCTCAGGCGTTCCAAGCGTGTGGTGGTGGAGAGTAATTCAGAGCGGTCCGAATTTATTGCTCCCTCTAGAGAGGGGTGATCAAATGGGTCATCGATGTCAGGGGAAAGAAACCCGGTCATATAAGAAAGCCTCCGGCGCGGGAGACTGTCCGGCTCATGGGCAGGGCCAGAGAATTCCTCACGCCACGGAGGGGTCGGGATGCTGAAAGGAGGGCTATTAAACGGCCTTCTGCGTTCCTCGGCAGGTGAATGCCAAGGACCCTCTATGGGAGTACCATCTCTCGCACTGGCAGATGACGATGTCGACATAGGTCGAGGACTATCGCGAGAAACTGAGGCGGGGTGATCCCAAGGGTTGCGCGGGCCAAACGGCGGGTTAGGTCTGCTACCCAATCGCCGAGATGACACGTGACGGAAGGAATCACCCAATTGCTCTCTTTCATGGGCACTTGCAGCACCACGCGCCTCAGGTCGAGGAGAACTAAGAGGGAAGAACCATGCAAACGCGCGAGTATCGTCGGCAGTCTGTGGAGACAATGGACCCGTACCTGCAAACTCGTTCTCCGTCGACAAAGAAGGACGGCTCGGGATACCACTGTTGGGTGGCAACTGTTCATACAAGGTCATCCCTGGAGGAGGAGAGTTGGTCTCGCGTCGTGCGAAAGAATGCGAGACTGCCCGAAGTCGGTAACGCGACGAAGCCGAGCGAGAGTCTACAGTCATTTGAATATCTATGAGACGTATACATAGCTATACCCCGAAATCATACCTGGTTCACGATGATCCGAGCGTCGCGCAGGATTCCCCGGAAGGACTGGGACGTGCCTCAAGAACCAATCGTATTCCGAATGATCACCTGAAGTATAGCTTTGGGTGAATATACTTACTTAAGCAGGATATTTCAAGACGCGCACCAACTGAAGTACTGCGACCGACGGTGGACGGTTCAGTTTCCCTGTCAGAGGTGTCCCATGGATGACGGAACGAAGATACGGGTGGCCTGGTACTGGTTGGGGGTAGCCGACTGCGTTCGAAGTCTCCCCTCGGAGGAGAACGATGACCGTCACTACCGGATACAGAAGACCTTCTTTCAGAGCGGAGAATAGACAGACCCTCCCGAACCTCCCGAGCAGTAAGCATGTTATCCGATGGTAGATCAGCAAAGAACTGGTGCATATCGGGTAAGTCATGCTCAGCGCTCGGGCTGCGTCGGTCGAGAGGTAGGGGTAGTTCCGGGGATCTTCCCTCCCGGGACGGCACAGACCTGTGATGATGAGGGAGTTCATCGTATCGAGAGGGATGCTCCATCAATGTTCGGTCCACCCGCGAGACTGAGAACGTATCGAAGCCAAAAGGAGATGTTTCCCGCGGCGAATCAACTGAGAGGAGCTCGGCAGACTCCATGGGTTCGTCCCGTGCAAAGCGAGAACTCGAGCGTGTGACTTGTTCGTTTATACCCGGGATTTCACGGCCTCGTCGCGGGGCAAGAGATGATGACGGCGCACCATCGGTCGGGACTGGCCTTTCAAGAGACATGGCAGGAAGTGGAAGGGGGCCTCGGGATGGGATCACTCTCCTGCGCTGTAAACAGGGGCGTCAGGAAGGGCAACTGATAGCTACAAGGTTCGAAACGTACTAGGAAAGGTGATGAGTCTAGTGAAGGAATGACAGGAACCTCGTCATCCGGTATAGGTACCAGTGCATTCGAGCCATCGTTCGCGACAACCGCATAAGCTAAGACAAGTATCACTGGCTGTCAATATGCTTAAGGATCCATAGGGCTCACAACGCATCCGAATCCGAGGCAAAAACGTACCCTCGCTCCTGGTATTCGATGGAGGAGGGAATCTACCGCTGAAGCTACTGGCGCGGGCTTCGGGCAAGTTGATAGGTGGTAATGTCGTATATGGAGATGCTCCGGGAGGGGAAGGGGATCGTGAAGGCAACCCCGTAGATGTTCGAGCTGGAACCGGACCATCCATGCGATCCGGGATAGGTGGGCTTGGGGTGTACGTAAATTCAAAGTCCCTAGAGGCTGGATAGTGTCTGGATGGCGGCCGCGACATTTGTGGCGGGTCGCTTCTTACTGTGGCAGAATGGACGACGGGAGGAGGAGAACTCGTCGAACCTGACGACGACGACTCATAGCTTCCATCGCCTGATAGTCCACTAGATCCCTGGGCGCTCGACCCTTGCGAGGACGACGAGGCAGAGAACGCGGCGAACCGCTCTTCGCTCTCGACATCGCTCTCGCTTCGCGCACGCTTGTACCTATCACCGTGCTCCCCTTCGTTGCCGCCGATGACTCCGGGACTTCCCCTTACACTGCTTCCACCAGCGCGAGGCCATCCAGAGTTGACTTGCTCAAACGACCTCTTTGTCGAATTATTGTTAGACGAAGGGGGCTCCGCCAGCCGGAAAGAGTGCTCCTCGCCGTCCATGGCGATGGCAAGACGAAAGCCTTTGTTGCCGCCACTACTGGCGCGGGGTCGCCACAAAGGGTACTCCAAATATGGTTACTCTATTATTATTATTATTATTATTATTATTAGGCATTTTTACGTTTCAAAGTCATTCTCCCACCCTACCGGCATAGAACAGCACAAAGCCAACAGACCCGAAACGAGTATACCTAAGGGCAGCAGAGTAATATCTAGTAACATCAACGTCAGCGGTTCCAGACTTGGTTGCAGGCAGCAAGAGCAGCGGCAAAGATGCCAACGTGAAGTCGGCACTTCCCAGTGTATTCTGGCTGCAGCGGTAAACAAGGACCACCGCAAGTTGGTGAGCAATTCGTGATGGCACACAAAATAACACCAACTTCAAGGGCGGCGGAGGGGCTGGCGCTCCAGGCAAACATGCCATTATTTACTTCATTCTACTGTTCATCGCAAATCGTAGACACCCAAATACAAAATAACCATACATCAGTGTACACAGTCATAGGATACACACAAACTTCTGTCTTCGCCAATGACTCAAGCCATTGCGTACTTCTCCGTCCATTCTCGACTGACGCGTTGGGCGTCTTTCTCGTCCTCCTTGTAATGTTTAGCAACATCGGTAGCTAGCGGATCGTCGGGATTCGGCGCACTCAAGAGTGCTTGTATGGAGAGCAAAACGGTACGGATCTGTAGTGCCGGAGACCATTTGTCTGGTAGACGAGAGTCAGCAGGGACGTCACAGGATTGGATTGAAAGTCAAAGGGGGGTGCACCTTTCAGAATATCCAAGCAAATTCGTCCTAGCTTGTCTAGTAATCCATCGTACCGTTAGATGCACTGTCCTTGACGGACAGGTAAGGAATTACGCACCAATATTCGGATGATAGATCTTAGTCAGGAAGCGCACTTTGGGCGGGCTCATGGGATACTCCTCCGGTAAGAATAGCTCGAGACGAAACACGCCATCTACGAGGTCCTGTTCAGTTCCACGACAAACCAAGGTACTGGCCTCCACGTACTCTGAAACGGGCTACCGTCAGGTCCCTGGATGGTCACGTCGAAGTACCGCAGGTTATCTTCATGCGGTGTGGCCGTAATGCCTGGAGCTGGATCCGCGACGAGACGTTCGGTTTCCTGTCAGCGAGACGTACAACGACGTTAAAGTCAGACCGCCAGTCGTCGGAATGAAGTCACGAGAGTGCCAACCTTGATGATTCGCTACAATCGCATAGCAAGCTCATCGTCATTCATCCACGCTGATACATGATAGCGTTCGCGTACCTTCGGAAGGGACATGGCGGTAATCAGAGGGCGTGTAAATCGTCAATGGAACAGAATTAAGGCTGAAAGTCTATGTCTAAGTCGCAGATCGAGAGTAATTCGGAGGGGACGACGAGCGCCGGGTGAATGATGCGTTTCCCACGCATAGTGATAACCTTAGATCAGTAGTCGGACGGCAGGCTTTCTTGACCTTTCACCATGTCGGGCGACGTTGAAATGCGCGTATGGCTTTCATCAAGGACGTCTTTCTAAGAGTACTCAGAATTTAAACAGGACGGCGCGCAAGCGGCGGACGATTGGGTCCTAATAACGACGCAAGAAGGCTTCTCTTTCATGGTAAAGCGCAAGGTAGCCCTCATAAGCGGGACCTTGAGAAACATGTTAAGCACCGAGAGTAAGCCCCCTACCCTCTCTGTCAATTTATCTGTATGACTGACTCCATCTTGGCCTCTCTCCAACCCAGGTAATTTTCGTGAAGCAATACTCAGCGTATGCGATATCCCGGACACGAGGTAGGGGTGCACGCGTTTCACCCGAGGTGACAAGAATTAATAGAAGGTGCCTTTCATTAGAGCTGCCGTGGTTGAGAAGCTATGCGAATACATGGCGTACAAGGCTCTGTACGAGAACACGCCGCCAAAGGAGGAAGTTCCTGACTTCACGGAGCGTATCCCACCAGAATTGGCTCTTGAACTGTAAGTGAACGCGCTCCGATATAAGGTACTAAGTGCTGAGGATCGCGAATACTTGGGAAGACTTGTAGCAGCAGATTACTATGAAGGCAAGTGCCTTTCTGTATCTCTTATCCTGGTCCTGACCGTCATGGGAATGTTCAGTGTAGCAGGCTTTGTGGGATCGAACGACCTTTGTGTCCATATTTTGTAATCTTCTTTGCTACGGTCTATTCAGAAGCATGGTGTCATAGGTATGGAAGATTCGATTTCATTTTGTCGGTTACGCTCACGATATAGAGCGCGAACCCGAAACATCACGACTCCCGAGGCATCAAATGCTACAGGAAATACTACCTTTCCCCACATACACCCCTTAGCCCACCGACTATAGATGGTCTGATTCGTTATAGCAACAGACAGCGGAGAAGACTAGATATCGACGTTTGACATCGAACGACAAATGAAAGCTGTCCGTCCGCTCAAGGCTCCCCAAGACTCGCCACAAACTCACTCACAGCTGTCCAATATCCGGGCTGTACGCACGTATCATCTTCGCCCTCATCAGTACATACTAGCTTGCGATAATAGCCGAACTCACTATGCTTCCCCCTCTCGAATAGCATAAACCGGCTCTTCCCCGTCCCCCTCTCGCGCTCCTCACGGACATCCCCTGTCTTCCTCTCCTCCGATTCATGCTGCCCCCTTTTCTCCGCGATTTTCCACAGCTCCTCCATATGGTCCTTGGGCACGACCTCGTCCTCCGCCCCGCTGAGCATGAGAATTGGTGTTGAAGGCGGGATTTTAGGTAGTTTCGCGTAGCTTTCCCACTTCTGGTGGCAGAGGAAGGAGAAAGGCGAGAGGATCGGGAGAGCTTGCGGGATGAGCTTCGGGAGGGAGAGGAAGGTGTTCTCGAGGATGAGCGCTTTCACCTGGCGTGACAAGTCCAGGTGAGTACATTTGCGACAAGACCATTACCGGACATACCGTCTCGATGTTACGGCTCGCAAGGTCGATCGATACGGCACCTCCAATAGACTGACCGTACAGAATCTGGACGGGAATTCGTCACACTATTGATGCGAGGGTGCCGGGAAAGCACTGACTATGGGTGTTTTTGACAGCACAGGATGGGAAGTCAGGTAGTCTAGCGCTGTCTGCGCATCCTGCTGTAGTCCTGCGCAGTGGCGTTGAGCGCTACGCCCCACAATGCAGAGCAATATCCTCACCTTTTTCCGACGGTGATCCTTCCGAGTGTCCGTACCTACCGGACCAATCATTTGCTTCAGTGTACCAATTTCCACTTTTTGGACGAGGCGAAACACGCACCCTCGATAAGACACCATCATCACATTACAGCGCATCTTGATGTAGAACACCTTTGCCAACGGCACACGGTGTCCAAGGTTTCCTCCATTCCCGTGGAACATCATAATCGTAGGCCGAGTCGCAGCGAACTAAGCATCCTTCCCTGATGAGTACTCCTCGGCGCGCACCACGCTTAAACCAACCCTGCAGGACACTCACCTCGTCGTCGTCCGCCGTGTCCATCTCCCCCGGAACCGGCGTCGCTTGCGGGCTCAAGCCCCGCTTCTGCACCATCAGATAGCAGTGGATCTTGACATCGTCTGGGGTGGTCAGGCGGAGGTCTTCATATGGTAACCCGAAATCGGACGGCACGGGGACCTCTGCTTCCAGCGCGTTAGCAACGGCACTGTCTTTGGATTCGCGAGTTCCGTACCTGTACGCGAGCCAGGAGGGTATGCGGAGGGGTATATCAGGAAGTTCTGGCCATAGTAGAGGAGCCCGACACCTGCTGAGCGTCAGTGCCTGCTGCCTGTGAGATGATAGCATACTCACCGATGGTAGAAAGGCCTGTCGCAGTGGCAAATGCACCCTGTATGTTGGACAGGTTAGCTGAGCAGAGCTTGCGTATATTACTGCTTGCCTTAGCAAAGCTTTCGATACTAGGGATCAGATTCGACGGCATCAGACTCGTAAAGGTGAAGTCAAGTAAAGCGCGCCCACGTGCAGTGACGCGCTACAGCTGTGCTCGCAAAATGCCGGCGTGTGTACATGTACAGGCAGAGCGGGAAGGGACCCCGGGAAGTGGCTTCTGCTAAGGTTGATCGTATAGGACGCACCGTGCTATTCAGTGACTGGGAAGATTTAGCAGTCGTATAGCTCTGCAGAAGCTCAATACAAAGGATTGAATGGAAGAGGAAGTTCATACTGGTCGTACCGCTCGTTTACAATCCAAGTTAACTGTCCCGTTCCGAATCTTATCAGTGCAAGGACGCCTGCAGGGGGAATAGAAGGCTTCCGGAGAGGAAAAAGGGGAGATTGTTTGGAGAAGTATCCCTCTACCAGTGGTATGACCATTGTGATGGTGGTGGAGGACTCTCAGGAGGACGATCAGTGGACCATCGAGTACACTCAGAACTTGCGAGACTGGATGGAAAAAATGGACGGGGGCGCCTGGTGTGAGGATCAGCTATATAGACATCAATAAACGCGTACAAATTTATGTGACATAGAACCTCAAATGATGGGAGGTTCACGAGCAGAGGACAGACCGTCCGAACCATCCGAATCAGTGTCTGTAGACTGTAGCCACAGCCTGGTGTCCCCTCCTCAGTACATTGATCCGCTGGCCTACTTTATTTGGCTTCATGAGGGAACCTTCGCACTCACCTGTCCACTCGCCACCAACTTGCTCAGTCACAGTGCTGCTATGGCACAGCTTCAGAAATTGTCGGGAGCGTCCGCTTGAGGGAGTAGAGATGGGGGACGCTGTTCAACTGCATCTTACTTTCGAATTTCTCTACGACCCCCTTGCCTCCTTCCTGTTCGTACGCTTCATCATGTTCTGCACATTCAGTAAGGCCTCGCTGTCTGCTGAATGCCTCGCCGGGCGTACTCATCGAGAGCCTGAGCTGACGCCATCGTTCCCCGAGTCACGGTTTCATCTTGATGGTCGATGCTGGACTCACTGATCTTTTCCCGTCATCTGTTGACTCGGGAATCACCCCATGAGCGCTACCAGTACTGATAATACAATCCCCTAAACCCGACCACCACCCTCCTCGAACGCTATCAACGTCGAGCTCGACGACGCTCGGGCTCCCGACGCTTTTCGGGACGGTGCCGAGAGTACGTCAGTATACGCACCCGAGTGACACCAAAAGCGAGATTCCTTAGACTTGGGACTACGCCCCAAGACGCGAGACCAAGGGGTCTTGAAAACCTTATTTTGCCACCCCACCTGAACGCCCCCCCTGGGTACCCCACCTCGTCCCCCTTGACTTCAACGCTCGAGCATCGGTCTACATACAGTACACGTCACCGCCTACACTAGTATAATAAGGCCGTCCGCTACTCTGCTCGACACCCCGTCCTCGCTGTCTTCCCCGTCGACCACCATGCCCTTGCCGCTTCCGGCCGCGGTCCGGGTAGAAGTCTGGTGGCAAACCCCAACCCTAGGGTGTACCGCCACGGGTCAGGTGACAACGCCAGCGTCGGCGCCCGGCGTGTCGTCGCCGCCCGCTTTAGGCCTGTCGTCGTCGTCGCCGACGATGAGCATGGCTGTAGCATTTGTATGTAGTCGTAAAAATATGGAATAAATCTCATTAAATACACAAAATTCGTTTGATGGATTTGACATGTATGCGCCGCCACTTACACGCTCCGATCGAGCGTCGTCGCCGTCAGGAA